GAGTAAAAAATTGTGATTTTCTTGCCCTTGTCTTGGTTATTTATAATTAAAACAGAGATGCTTTTTTTCTGTGTTTGTGATAGGTTTTTTTAATAAATTTATTGACTATGCAACGAGAATGAAGTTTGTAATATGCTAAGAAAAAAAAACCTGCCTAATTGTTGATGACTTTTACAAGTAATCTATTTTTGTAGACATCTAAAAAGTAAAGAAGAAGCTGAAGGCGGATTTGTGGGCAAATGTAAAAAGAATTGGGTTAGAAAATATCGAAATGTACGATGTACAGAATTGCAAGTAAGTCTTTGATAAAAGTTTTTATAACTTTCATGTTTTTTATTCGCTTGAATACACTTTAGAAGCTGAGATATTATAGCGTAATCTCGGTTCTTCCTGGTTTCAGTTCTAACTTTTGTAGCTGTTTTTAAGCTAGACAGTAGTACAGTTTTGTGCAAAAACATTCTACAAGTTTTATTTATTTTTCTAGCCTTTAACTGTTATGAATCTTCAAACAACCTACTTACCTGATGACACCAGAACGACTGTTATCATTGAACGATGAGACTGTGCTGCTGTTTTTTGATGCCGTTCTGTTGTTTGGTTTACTACTGAATCTGCTCAGTACTGACTGTTCTGAAAGCCAGAACAATTTACTGAAACATTTTAAACAAAAAATAAACATTAATAATTGACAACATTAAGGTATTAATTGATGTTGGATGTTTGTAAAAGTGCTATAAAAAACTTGACGATAAGAGTTTTATTCTTATAATAAATGCCATAATTCTTGCTTATGTCTAATCATAACTTGAACAAAAGAAACAAAAAAACGAAAAACCAATAGACATTTCTGTCATTTTTACTTTTTACGGGTAAAATTTACTATGTGTGTGTGTAATTATGTACATTCTTAGCTAAAATGATGTTGTATCTATAGTTAGTGAACTCGAATTTACAAGCATATGTTTTTTCTTGCTTGTTTCTTTTTTTTCAGTGATTAATATATTCCTGAAATGTTCTTTGGTTGCTTGTTTAAAAGAAAAAAAAAAAGCATATTTAATAACTGAATAATTTGCATATTGTACAGATATATTAAAGTAAAAAAAAAAATTTCTTTCTTTACTGTCGTTTTAACTATTCATTTCGTTTATTATTCATCTGTATTTGATTGTTTTTATAATTGCAAAATAATACCAGTTACATTATTACCACTGTTAGTTGAACACTTCATTTTCGATCTTCTGTTACTCCTCTGGATGACATTTCTTAACTTTGCTTTTTTGCCGGTACCACTGACAACACCGAGTAACGCCTATTCTTTGTAAGCTCTAAATTTCCATCAAGCTTTTTTTTCTATTCTCTTTTTTTTTACCTTTAAAGTTTGTTTTTTATTGTTTTAAAAGAATCTCGTATTAAATGAAGTTTTCATTTTTGCTGCTTAAATCTAAAAGCAAGAACTGTTCTACAGGTTTGCAAAAAAAGACTGCACAAATCTGTTACTTTTGACAATGTATACCAATGAGGAAGAATAAAATTCTGTCAATAGTTGACATTTCAGGTTACAAATATTGAAAAATTTTTTTCTTTTTTTGCAAGTTTTTCTCTCTTTTTAATTACGAAAATTTCACTTTTTCAAAACTAATTCACTGCATATCCGTTCTGAACTGCAAAAAAAAATTTGCAGTTTTATGCGGGAATACACTGCATGAGAGGAAAGTCTAAAGATATTTTAAGTAAAAACATGTTTTAATTTTTATTTATAGACAGAAATAATGATAGTTGTTAACCAAATATCAATGCAGGAATTCTTAAGCACGATAAACAAGAGGAAGTTTGCTGTTTTCAATATATGGTAACTGAAGAAATTTACTTCAGTGCTAATAACAGTGGGTAAATTTTGACCTGCAGTGGCGTACAACGTCATTTTGAACTTTGTCAGTATCAGCCTTTCAGTTTTTAGATATTGAATCTTCTTGGCCGGTACTGCTTAGTCCTAACAGCATACAATTACTGTTAAACTGCATCATTTGCAAGAGAAAAAAATCTATTTTAAAAAAAACTTATATAGTCACTCACAGGCCAAATTGACACACTTTATACATTTGATAATCAAAAAACTTTTAAACCGTTTAAGCTGCAAATTTATCCGACTAAAACCATAAAAAAAAAGAGAGAGACAAATGTTAACTTCATTTGCTGTATCTCCCAATATGTTATTTACTACTACCGAAATGTTACTGCAAATTCGACAT